CGGGCCGTGCTGGCGGGGCGCGGGTGCGTGTCTGGTGTGTGCCCTGGCCATGCTGGCGGGACGCGGGTGCGTGCCCGGTGCGTACCCTGGCCGTGCCGGCGGGGTGCGGGTGCGTACCCATCATGTACCTTACATGGGTCTCCGGATGTCTAAGCCATGCACCCATCGGCATGTGTTCCCACCTGCCTAGTGCCTGCTGCCTCCTTGCTGCTGGAGCTGTTGCCCGGCTTAGGAATGAATCTGGTGCGTACCCATCATGTACCTTACATGGGTCTCCGGATGTCTAAGCCATGCACCCATCGGCATGTGTTCCCACCTGCCTAGTGCCTGCTGCCTCCTTGCTGCTGGAGCTGTTGCCCGGCTTAGGAATGAATCTGGCAAAACGGAAAAGGCCCGTCCCCTAAACCCTCTGGAGGATGTTTCCAGCAGCAGGCTGGTCCAGAGCCCGTCTGGCCTTGTCACTTGGGTAAGCTCAGCAGCTCCCCTGAGGCTTCACTGCCCTGCTCACTGCTGCGGGGATGCGGCGAAACGCAGGCTGGCTCCGTGTGTCTGCAGGGGAGGGTGGGGGCGAGCGTCCCTGGACTGCAGGTTAGGACTAAATGGTCCATTTTCAGAGTGGAGAGAGGGAACTAGTGGGGCTTCCCAAGGGTCAGGACAGAGATCTTGGCGTCATCATGGACAGTTCTCTGGAGACGTCCACGCAGTGCGCAGCGGCCGTCAAAAAAGCAAAGAGGATGTTAGGAATCATTAAACAAGGGATAGAGAATAAGACGGGGAACATCTTATTGCCGCTATATAAATCCATGGGACGCCCACATCTGGAATACTGCGCACAGATGTGGACCCCACCTCTCAAAAAAGAGACCCTGGCATTAGAAAAGGTTCAGAGAAGGGCAACTAAAATGCTGAGGGGTTTGGAACGGGTCCCGTATGAGGAGAGATTAAAGAGACTGGGACTTTTAAGCTTGGAAAAGAGGAGACTAAGGGGGGAGATGATCGAGGTCTATAAAATCCTGAGTGGTGTGGAGAAAGTGAATAAGGAAAAGTTATTTACTTGTTCCCACAATATCAGAACTAGGGGGCCACCAAATGAAATTAATGGGCAGCAGGTTTAAAACAAATAAAAGAAAGTTCTTCTTCACACAGCGCATTGCCAACCTGTGGAACTCCTTGCCGGAGGAGGTTGTGAAGGCCAGGACTATAACGGTTTAAAAGAGAACTAGATAAATTCATGGAGGTTAGGTCCTTAATGGCTATTAGCCAGGCTGGGCAGGAAAGTGCAGCGTTCCCCCTGCTGCTCTGGACGTGAGAAATAACAGGACTTCAACGTTCTCTTGCTGCCAGCCTCTGGTTGTAACCCACCCGCAGAACTGTGCTGAAGTATTTCTCCGTGAGTAATGAATGTGTTCACCCAAACGCGATTCGCAGGGGTACCTGCCGCCAAGTGCTGTGCAGAGGGGATGTGAAAGCGCGCACAGTTGTAGCTCAAGTAAACCGACTCAGGAATTTCTCAAACACACGGCCACGCAGATGTGATCCCAGCAGGGACTTGGCAGCGTGTGCTTGGCTAAGAAATGAAAAGCTGCCGTACGTGCCTGAGGAATTGATTTACTTTCCTGGCTAACCCACTTAGCAGACCTTCCGGGGCATAACTGAGAGGGTTCCCCGGAACGCCTGGCAGACCTGCTCTCGCTGCCTTTTCCCTGAAGGGGCTGCCAGCGCTTTTGTTTGGGGAGATGCTTGAGGGCACCGATCTCAGTGCAGAACAGAACGTTCCCTCCCGCAGACGTGTCTTTGCTGCGTGCACCAGAGGCTGGGGCTGTCCTCCAGGTGCCCTGGCTCCCGCGGTTCTTTGAAGCAACCACCCCCCCTTGGGAAGTGTCTCTAAGAAAACACATTGCCTGTGGGTCCGCTGGCAGAGTCCCCTCTGTGCCCTGTAGAGAACTGAGCACGTCTGCCAGGCAGAGACTCTGGGTGTGCCTACACTACCACCCTAGTTTGAACTAGGGTGGTCATGTAGGCAACCGGAGTTGCAAATGAAGCCCAGGATTTGAATTTCCCGGGCTTCATTTGCATCTTGCCGGGCGCCGCCATTTTTAAATGTCCGCTAGTGTGGACTCTGTGCCGCGCGGCTACACGCAGCACGGACTAGGTAGTTCGGACTAGGCTTCCTATTCCTATTCCTATTCACGAGGAGTAACGGTAGTTCGGAATAGGAAGCCTAGTCCGAACTACCTAGTCCGTGCCGCGTGTAGCCGCACGGCACAGAGTCCACACTAGCGGACATTTAAAAATGGCAGGGCCCGGGCAGAGGCTTCATTTGCAACTCCGGTTGCCTACATTAACCACCCTAGTTCGAACTAGGGTGCTAGTGTAGACATACCCTCTGTTACTACCTGTGGCCATGCTGACCTGCAGTGCGCTCTCTCTACCCACCCACCCACCCCGTTCACGGGGAGCTTTCTGGTACTCAAGTCTTTGGTTTTTCTGGTCCACAGGTAGAAACCGAAGATGAGAAGAGGCGTTTTGAAGACGGCAAAGGGAGATACCTTCAAATGAAAGCGAAAAGGCAGCTCCAGCCGCCTCCCCTCGATCAACAATGACCCTCCATCTTAGACCTCAATATTTATGTATGGGAGAGCCACCTAGAAATAGGCATCTCCATGTAGGAATATTTACTTGGACAAATAAACCTCACTAGTGTTGTATGAGCTGTTCACAGGCCCTGTGTATTCCCTGCCCTGCGCCTGCCCAGAGGGAGTTAGAGTTCAAGCTGGCTGCCGAGCCGCGTTCCAGAAGATGCGCTTTCTGGGCTTTCAAAGTGAACCTTTCAGCTGGTCCTGCAGGGTTGCGAGCCGGAACGTCCTCCTCTTGTGTTCGCAGGCAGGCGGAAATATTGCGGTGTCTGAGCTGCTCTTCACAAGTGACTGTGAAATCTGAAAGGCAGGGAGGCCAGCTTAAATCTGACTGCGGATTTGGTAAACGACTGAGCAGTTTAATAGAAGTCTCCAGTCTGAGAGATTCCAGCATTCCAGGCAAAGTGCTGGGCCTCCCTGGCGGCCACAGGCCCTCGCCTGCTCCCCAAAACCTGCCCCTTCTCAAAGGCCACTTTCTGAAAGACAGCTGCATGATCCGCTTGTAAAGGGCCCATTGGATCTGATGTCCGGGTACCGGACACAGCGAATTGTCCGTTCCGGTGCACAATTGGAGAAAGTAACTCGTCTGCCAGAGGTGGTGGCACCGCAGCATTGCAAAGAATACACAGGGCCTTGACTCTGTGATGCAGTTAATCTACTGTCTGTCCTCAAATACGTGCACCAAAGCTTGTTTAGAATACCCCAGTACCGATGCTGCTCCGTGTTGTACGGGACTCAGTTCGTTCCACTCAAGTCCATGTAATATTTATGTGCACCTCTAAGTTATTTACTGTGCACCGTGACGTAAATAAAGTTCGGCTTCAGCTGAAGAAGATAGCAGGTGTCTTTGTTTTCCTCTTCACAAACTGTGTGTGGCCACACTAATCATCCAGGTGGGTGTCCGGGAGGGTTGGGGTGGGTGAACGTGTTTATGGGGTGAATGGGAAATGCCCCTTAGCAGGGGCTACTGCGTGGCAGGAGTATCTCGGGGCGTTGAGGGGGGCCTAAATAAAGTTCGGCTTCAGCTGAAGAAGATAGCAGGTGTCTTTGTTTTCCTCTTCACAAACTGTGTGTGGCCACACTAATCATCCAGGTGGGTGTCCGGGAGGGTTGGGGTGGGTGAACGTGTTTATGGGGTGAATGGGAAATGCCCCTTAGCAGGGGCTACTGCGTGGCAGGAGTATCTCGGGGCGTTGAGGGGGGCCCTAGGGGGTTCTCACTCCCATTGGATGCTTCACCGCCGTTGTAACTCTGCTCTCAGTGCACCAGGGAAGA